CTCGGCTTATCACTAGGCACTCACGCGGGCTATTTTCCCCCAGAGTAAATGACGAACACCAACGCAAAACTAGAAACTGTCTACGACTATCCGAAAACCGGGTACGGCGGAATTAATCAAATACAGAGACAAAAAAAGGCACCAATTAAAAAAAAAAAGAATTTTTGAAACAGCAAGATGTATACACCCTGACAGGCCGGATAGGAAAAATTTCAAGACAGAAAGAGTAAACAATGGCAATCCGATCTGGTTGAAATGTTACCATACGCAGAAGAAAATGAAAATTACAAATACCTTTTTAACGATCATCGATTGTTTCAGCAAGTATGCCTGGGTCATACCGCTAAAGGGATACCGACGGCATAGGTTGAGCACCCCTGATCAACGTTTTGTGAAATTCAAGATTTCCACCCTTTTCTAATCAATCGGAACAAGTTTCTATGTATTGGATAGCAGGCTACAAGTTTGGAAAATCAGGTGAAAAATCAAAGTGTCCCAAATGCTGTCCTAGCGGCAAACTTTTATATGCTACTTACTGCACGCTTGATTTCCTGGTGATAAGCCGATAGGATAGCGGTTTCCGGTGGAATTAGCAAGAAAAACATGGGACAATATGGACGAGAGAGGGAAAGGAAAGATTAAGAATTACTCTGTGTTGTGGAAAGATCTGCAAAAATTACGGTTTGGAGCCACGGCGTAATCAATTAAACTTGAAGCTCGAAAGCTTGAGCTTAAAGGGATAAGGAAGCCCCAGTTGGTTAGGGCTCTTCCATAATTGGCAGACGGTCAATCGGAAATGTTAATGCAAAAAATGCGCAGAGAGTGGGCGGAGGCAGGAGGGAGCAGAGAAGATTTATGCTAATTTTAGTAATAAAGCCCGTTCGCTGCCAATTTTTCTTCGGCTTCCTGATCCCTTTAATGCATAAACCTTGAAGCCTAAGGCATGATCTGGCAGCCGAATTCACGATAAATTTTGCTATCCTCCTGTGGTTTTTTGCGGTGTACTAACACGAAAACGGAGTGTCTCCTCTGGGGGCTGCCGAGTCACCACACTCGCCTCTACGACCAGCCGCTTACGCCACAAAAATCGGGATCGATCAAAATCTTGGCGGTCCCCCGGTGAGCGCCTTTCGCCTGTGCGGGGGACCTGTTTTGGAGTCTTGCCAGCCGCGATCAGCATCGCCGAAATAATGGGGTAACTGTTTTCGGCTCTTGAGATTAAGGTGAGAAATCCTGTTTTTTTAAGTTTTTGGTCCATGGTTTGCACCGGCACTTAGTAGATGTTTTCACAAACTACAAATCCTTCTATTTTGATGTCTCTCACCTGATTCCAGGCCTCGTGGACCCCCGAAAATGCGGAAAATATTTGAGTGCAGACCTCGGCGGCTTATCGCATGGTCGTAAAAACCTTTGAAGGTGGCTCAAAAACGGCATTCCCGATGTCAAAATGGTTCCAGCCATAACTTTTTGGTTTCTACTTTTATAGCTTGTAATTGGAGTAGTCTGCTGCTTTGCGGGATATCTCGCTATTTTTCTGGATTTTGTAGTAGATTTTGTAGTAGTGTAGTACTCATAAATTCCCCCAATTTTTCCGCTTTCGAAATTCATAAATCTTTCGCAACCTTTATTAGCGTTGACAAAAATTTTCAATAATATAAAATTTTTTCTAAACGCAGATTAGAGTGTTAGATAATCTCCGAACTTGCAAGCTAGACTGTTTATAATCTGCAAAAATGAGGTAAATTCGAATTTTTTGGTGCGTGTGCGTAATTTATGTCAATTCCAGAGCTAAAAAACGCAATTCTTGATCCCAATCATTTTATAGCCATTTAATTGTTGTAGCTAGTCAGCCTATGACGACCCCACTTTTACAGTCTTTTTTGGTCTCCCCCGCCTCCGTTATCTGACACCTTTTCTAACCGATTACGCCATTTCGGGGTGGTGACGGCGAGGCGGCATTCGCAATACTCAGGTCATTTCCGTCGGCTTATAGGAATAGCATGATTTGTCTAGTTTGAAGGAGCTAGGAGTGGGGAAAGCGACTTTTTGTCGCGCTTGGGTCTTGACAACTACGTTGCACTCCTAGCTACGCATAAAAGTGTTTGATTTTTGCAACTTTTTAACTCAAATCTTTACAGTAACGTCCGTATGCCTAGTAAATTGTAACTTTTTGTGTGATTTGTAGTGTTGCGTGGCTATCCGCGCCTAGCAAGCGAAAGTGGTCGATTTCTTCGCTTACCAGCCTCTTTAAAGATATCCTATCCTATAAGCGAGAAAAGCATGTTTGTTTTCTGTACGGCCGTTTTCTCGGCCGCCAGGCCGAATTTCGAGCTGATTTTTGGCATGGGGGTGGGAAATGCCATTCATAAAAAACGGTTTTTTGGATTTTTCGAAATTCTTCGATTTAACGATTTTACAAGCAAAAATCTGAAAAATCCTTAACATTTTTGGGTGCGCACGTTGTCCGGAACTTTTCTCGGCCCCTAGAGGCAATGGGGCCCTCAATTTTTTAAGGAAGATGGCAAAAGTAATTCCCCAGATACATTTTTTCCGATTTTGCAAAATTCGTTAAAATAAAGTTTTTATAAGGATTTTTCTGAAAGTTCCTTAATAAATCGCATGACGGGCCGTGGTGTCTAGGCGATAACTCGACGCCCTGATGGAATTTGGGGCTGGAATTTGGACAACTTATGTATTCGATAGTGGGGATCACGCGCATCTTATTATGTTACAAACTTTCCGCAGATTCAGACTCAAAAAATTGAATTTTGGAAGTGACCAGAAGGCCTCCCTTCCGGGATCATTAGGTCGCCCTTTTCTTTGCCCCCCCCCCCGTCCCCCAGGACGGAAGAGGCCTCTCCCGCCGCCTGTTCCCATGTGCCCCTTTGTGTAGTGGATTAGCGCTCGGTCTACCACGCACAGAGTCGTGAGTTCGGATCCTGCGAGAATTTAATTTTTGCTTTTTGGTAGTTCGGCAACAAAACATATTTCTAGGCTCTCGGTGTGCGAGGTTTAGGCCTGGCTCTCGCTCTAGCGCCGCAGGCCCAAAGAAAAGGTCCATGGTCCAGGCTCTCGCGCCGCAGGCCAGATCCTGGAGAAAAAGCAATAGCTAGCGCCGCAGACCAAATAATGGCTCCTTGACTCAGGCTCTAGCGCCGCAGGCTAAAAAAGGAAGGTATTCAAATTCAAGGCTCCTGGACGGGGTCCAGTGGAAAGCGGCCGCGAAGCGGTCTTTTTTCCACTCTTATTCTGATTCCTGAATTTTACTAATGCTTCAGGAGCTCTAAACTGCCGCATAAGGGTGTGAATAGACTATTTTTCACCATGCACAATGCGCCATACGAAATCGCCAATTTTTTCAGTTTTCGTGAAATTTGAGTTAAGGGCCTTATTTTACCGAGCAAAAAATTGCTGAATACATTTCTAGAAGATCCGGGAAGATCAAAATAATGGCCCTTGAGTTGGGAAAATTTGGGAAAAATGATTTAAAATCGTGTAGCTTTCTAAATTAGGGTATTTAGCGACAATTGAAAACATGTTTGGAATCAGCAAAAATTTCTGCACAAGTTAGGCAGGTGCCGACGCGACACGCCAATTTCACTTTAAAACGTCTCCTTGTGAGAACTGTTGTCAGGCTAGATCGCTGGACCACATTAGACTCCGCCCACTCTAATAGACTCCGCCTATCTACGTTTCTCCAGTCCCTAATTCTCCTAGGCATTCCTGTTGCTTATCCCCCTGCCACCATTATGTCAAATAAACAGTTGTTCGATACTACGTCCTCACCTGCACTTCTACTCTTTCGAGGATCACAACAAGAACACCTTGTTAGGTAGAGGTCCTCCTTGACAGTCGCCTGCCCAAAATCAGGGCACCGTTTTTTACCGTTTATCCCAAAAAATCAATGACATTGGTCATGAAAGAAAATACAGGGTGATGCGATATGGGCGGTGTTTGCGTGTAGCTTTTTGGATCAGTCAGTGTCGTCGGTTGTGTCGTCGAGTTTCATAGGTGTCCGTTCTTCTGCGTTTACTTCTTCTCTCCCTTCACCGTGATGTCCTGCAAAGCAAAGCATCGGTAGGTCTTAGAAACGTCCGGGATATCGGATAGACGACTCACGTCGGGGATGACCGCATAATCATCGACTTTCCAGCCCTCACGCAGTTTTTCGTCGAATTCCTCTTGCGCTGAAACAACATTGATATCGTATTTTCCGGCTTTCTACTATTGGAAGCGCCCACGCCCTGACTTTTGTGTATGGGACTTTTGAGGAGTTAGAGGGACGCGAAGAGTATCAAATGAAGCGCTCGAAATGGGTTTGGATCGAGTGGTACGGAATGTCGATTTGCGGCATCAACCGCCAGAATCGGTGCGATCCACAATCGTAAATTACATTTCTTGTTCATTATGCCCAGAATATTTAAGTATTCTAGCAGTAGCAGTAGCATCGTAGCGATGCCACGATTCGCTGCGGTTGGCGAGATACTGTGGCCCAAATTTTTTTCAGCTTTTTGCTGGGCACCATGTTGGGTTTCCGCGATATCTATAGGATCTGTACGCACTCTTGATGCTGTCCTTGTGGTTCACGATGAAGATCGGCACGATCTCGTTTTTCACAGGATTGACGAAGAGAACGGCGCCGAAATTCTCCTAAAATGAAGCGTAGTTTTCTTTTGACCGAGGTACATGAAACTGTAATTATGGGCACATCTACATATTTCCAGCGAAAACTAATGAGAAACGATCTAGCAAAAAAATGCTGGGTACCAGTGGGTAGTTAAAGTAAAGTTCGAAAAGGCCGAAAATTTGATGAATTTGGATCGAAACAATTTCATTTTAATTTTTTGATCGTTTATGCTTAGTAATTGCTGAAATTGCTTCCTCCTTGCAAATGCAAAAAGTCTCAAATGGCCTTACCGCGTTTAGGTAGTACGAAGACGAGAAGACGGTGGCCAACGGGAGGTTGGCAAATCGGCGCACGCCGTTCGTCATCGCCTAGTGAAAGGTGCCGGTTATTGAATGTGTGCCGAAAAAAATTTGGTTCCCCCCGACCCGAGCAGAGCCGATATCTGTTAAAAGAATTATTGGGAAAACTGCATAAGGAAAGTTATGAAGGTTTGAAACTGTGTTTTCGGAAAGTTTGGGCTACGCGACACTCCTTTGTACGGCCTTCGCGCCCCCATTTCGAAGCCCTGTACGAGCTCGCACCCATCCGAAGCGACTAGGGCCCCGGGTGGCACGAAGCCTTATTTTTAGGTAAAGTTTGAGTGTATCCTACTATATATAAAAAAATAGTGTCTGTGTGTGTGCCACTTTGCATGCAACTTCCGTCACCATGTCCGGAAGATATCTCAAGAGGGGAGGGGTTTTAAGGTACGTATGATACGTCATTAGGTGCGTAATGGCTCTGGGATGACTGCACGCTTATCAGATGTTACAAAATCCGATATTTTAGACATTAAATTTCAGTTTTTGTAAAAAAATTCCGGGCATCCTCTTTGTTAGGAAAAATTGAGCATTGAACGGAAGTGACACTAGCCTATATAATGGGACAGTGCCAGCGTTTTTCATTTTTTTCAGCAGAATTTATGAGCTCATGCAAAGTGACGACTTCAATAAGATCAGACGGGGCCAGGGTTGAAAAGTCGCGAAGCGGCTCTTCAACCCTGGTTAGAGTGAAATATCCAAGGGAAACGGGCCTTTTTTGGCCCTTTTGGTGTTCGAACTTTGGACGCCTATATCTCGCTCCAAAATTGTTTCGAATTGTTTTTCCAACTGATCCTGAACCATCTCGTCGAGCTGAACATTTCTACATATAAAAGTTTAGATTTGGCTAGGTTACCGTATACTTGAATTTAGCCGGAAAATGGCATTTTTCGGCAAAATTTATGCAAAATTGGCTCGTAAATGCCAAAAAATAAGAGTCCGCAGTAAATTTGGAAAACGGATTCGGAATCAGGAAAAATTTTTGCACAAGATGCATTTGGTCCCGAATCGAAAGTCCAACTTGAGTAAAAACACTTTACAGTAAGGCGAAGCGCGCATTAATGGGATGTATAATTTGAATCAGGAAAAATTATCTCTCAGCTGCAGGGTCTATTAGAGATTGTCTAGTAAGTATAGATACATTAGCTGACCGAAAACCTGGATGCTAAAAAGACCAAGAATAAAAGTCATAAACAAAGTCAAGTCCGCGGAGCTAACCTTCTGAACGGCTGAATAGTTTTCCCATCTGTACCTGGTGACCACGGATGACGAAGTCGACGTGAAGACGTTCAATCGCGCCTTTGATAGCTTGAGGGCCCAATCGCTGGCCGAAGTTTCGCGTCGCATTGGGCTCGACACTAAACATGATTTTTAACAGCACCTACACAAAATTGATAGGTGCACGTAAAAATTGCCAACACTTAATGTGGATTACTGAGAAAATTTTGGAAACGTGGACTCCTAAGCATTAATTAAGGATGATTATACTCTGCCATACCCCCCATGGGGGACGGGTCCCCAATCCTACACACGTCTGCCCCCGCCCGCTATTGCGCGCCCCCAGGCATACGGTACCCCCCCCGCCCCCCCCCCCCCCGGTGCCCTTTCAAACTGTTTTAACACCACCCTAGGGAGGTTTTTAATAGAAACCATTTTTGAATATATAGGAGGATCCACGATATGGACCTCTCACCCGATAAACTCCCCCTCCGCCCTGCTAACGACCCAGAACCGTCCGAGGTTAACCTACTGTTCAACATCTTCTGACGGATCGTTCCAGCGCAATAGCCTGGCCATCCCAGCGTATAGCGTCTCCTCCGTTTTCCAGCCCTTTTTCAGAACGTCTCGCGTCAGCTCGGGCGCTGGAATTTGATCCTTTTGGTTGAATTAGGATAAAAATCGGCTATTTTTGGTCAAGAAATCGTTTTTTTTTGACATTTTTAATCTATTTATGAATCTTTCGTTCTTTGTTAATTTTTATCAATATTGATCGACAAATTTAAACTTTGGGCTAAGAAACATTGTTCCAGGGTATTCTGCCGAATATCAGCCAGGTTATAGCCTTTTACACAGTTTCTAATTATAAGTACGAAATGACAAATTATCGAAATTTCAGAAATGTATGGAAAATGGCCAAACCCGTTCAACCAATTACGTAATTTTTATAACTTTCCAGCAAACAAAACAAAAAAAATACAGTATAGATGATCAACAGAAAGTATAGGTGGAAAGCAAAAAGTCGTTTTCCCCCAGCACAAAATCCCCCGATACGAGTCCAGAACCGCGAACGGAAGTGATTGCGCTGAACCCGCATGGTTTGCTGTAAAAAACCCACTGAGCATGCCGTGCATACACAGAATCCGGTCGTCAATTAGCCCAATAACCGGAAGCTTTTCGAAGAAACTGAGAAGCGCGTCGATTGCGTCCTTTTTTCGCGGTTTTTGCTGCGGCTCTTCACCGGTCACGTCTTGTGTTGGGTGGATCTCCGCGCGGTACCCGCGTGCAACCATGTGTTCTTGAAAATCGTAGCAAACTTGGTCCTCTTCGTGGTTGCCACGGACGATGAACACCTAGACGAACGGTACAGCAATCTGTTCTGCCACAATTTGCGGGGATTATTTCGTATTATACGGGGGGATCGAATTTTTTCTGTAAGTTTAGAAATGCCTAGTGCCTTACCAGACCGTGTTTTAACAGTGTTTTTAGTGATAGACCAGGGTTGAAAAGCCGCTTCGCGACTTTTCAACCCTGGCCCCATCTGACCCCCTTTTAACGCGCGCGACCTGGCTCACTATGTCCAAAATCACCCCAACCTCCGTCCCCCACCCCTTTGACTACTAAGGAAAAAACTTTCAAAGTTAAATTTAATAATTTAAACTAAAACTTTTTCATAATTTTTTTTGTCACTTTGGGGGTTTCTGACAACGCTCTATCCGAATCCGAAGAGAGCTAAGCTCTGGCTCCTTTCCCCTTCGAGTTGAATTAATGACCTGACACACACACACACACACACACACTGACGCCTCAAGAAAATTATTATAGTTGATACCAGCCGCTTGCAGCGGCGAAGCTGACTGGGAGCTGGACTTCGGGCTGCCCCTCGCCGAAACGCGCGCGATCTGGCTCACTATGTCCAAAATCGTGCAAACCCCCGTCCCCCACTCCGAAATTCGGCTTCACACACGCACACACACACAGGCAGACACCTCAAGAAAATTATTATAGTTGATATAGTGGGATTGTACAGTTTTCACGATTAAGGATAGTAAAAAAACTGTTTAGAAACCTTTCCACTACTTACATTTGAAAAATCAGATCCAAAGAAAGCAGTTTCCCCATATAAACTTCCTTCTCCCCGATAGTGCATGGATCCTTACCGAAAAAGAAAAACCCCTTATCGTGGAAAGTCAGCCAAAATCCAAAACCTGGTAGGGGTAGTGCATCTTGTACGCCATAATCAGCAGCAAGCATTCAAGTTGACGGGGGCCGCGATCGACGATGTCTCCGAGGAACATGATGCTTAAAAGGCCGTTTGCGCAAAAGACGGGAAAAGGCTTCGCACAATTCTTCCCCGACCCAATTTTTTGACGCCATCTGGACGCCACCTGGACATGATCCAGTTAGTAGGATAGCAGTATTAAAGAATTTTAAGAGTTAAACTGTCGGGTTAAATTGGCCGCCAAAGTTGCCAACACCAAAAATTTATCTCGAAAGCCGCCTGACGAAATTGGCTGAAACTTTCGGGAACACGTTTTGAAATATAGGGATTGCATGCAATTTTTTTTTCACGGCCGCAGCCGGGCAGGGCCGCAAAAACGTCCTGAGGCCGCAGCCGGCCGCGGCCGGCCGCGGCTTTTGCAATGAACTACTCGTTGCCTTTTTCCATTTCAGAAATCATGCAAATCAGTAAAATTCAACTCGAAATCCTAAAAATAGGTCATTATTTTTGCCATGGTGCAGCCGCGGCCGGCCGCGGCCGGCCACACCCTTTTTTGGAGCCGGGCGCGGTGGCCGGGATTTATGCTAATTTCATATGCGGCCGGCCGCAGCCGGCCATGGGTAGCTACGGCCGGGCCGGCCGGGCCAGGCCGCGGCCACTTGCCATGTCTGGATTTTTCTAATACATTGCAAAGCACGAAAATAACCGGAAAATGGTTCAATCACGTACTCGAGATTGGGGTTGTTTTTCCGGATCGTTCCGGATCTCAGACCATCCGGCACAAAGACTTTTTGTATTGGCAACTTCAGCCGGCGCTTTAACCCGGAAATGTATCTTTGAAAATTCTTCAAATACTGCCATCCTAATAATTGGACCATGCTCTTCCAGTTGGCGTAAAAATGGAAAGCTACTTTTGGCCGGGCCCTCCGTCAACCACATCCGACAGCCAAGCATGGATGATACGCCAAAGGTCGTTGAACTGAAAATGAAACAGACGGTATCACAATAAAAAACATCCGCCTGTAACTTGATGATGATGTATTGGTGGGAAAAATAGTTACAGCATTCGTAAGATTCAAAACGGCGAGATGGCAACAATCTTCAAAACCATGTTTTTATTGAAACGCATTTCAAACGGCCACTGCACCTAATTAACGGCACCTTTGGGCCATTTTGCCTGGAGACATCGAGGCAACCCCGAAAAACAGTAAATTGCCACAAAATGGCATGTGAAATAATATGTTTAAATCTAACCAGGGTTGAAAAGCCGCTTCGCGACTTTTCAACCCTGGACCCGTCTTGGACCCCATGCTATTCCGCCCTTTGCATACTTGTCCTTCATTCAGAAGGCAAAAAAAATGAAAAACAACCCCGCCTGCCTCTTTATATAGACGACTGCCCACTTCCGGTTTATGCTAATTATGCCTAACAAAGAGGTTTTTTACAAAAACCTAAATTTAATAGCGAAAATGGCTAATTTTTCAAAATCTGATATGTGTGCAGTCATCCCTAGACCATTACGCACCTAATGACGTATCGAACGTGGCCTAATATCCCTCCGTTCTTGAGATATCCTCTGGACAGCCAGACGGAAGTGGATGCAAAGTGGCACACACACACAGACACACAGACACTATTTTTTTATATATAGTAGGACTAGTCTAACTAGGGAAGTGCAAATAAAAAACCCAGCAAACCGCCTAGCAAAAATATGGGTCTGATAGAGTCGGCGACGGGGATTCCGAAACTGCAATCAGAATTTGCTAAACGCTTAATTCAAAAAAAAGTTATGAGCATTTTAAGTTTTGCAGCACTGATTCCTCCCTCCTTTATGAGCCCCTCCCAAAGAGCAAAGAATTAAGATGCTCATAACTTTTTTGTATTAAGCGTTTAGCAAATTCTGATTGCAGTTTCCGAATCCCCGTCGCCGACTCTACCAGACCCATATTTTTGCTAAGCGGTTTGCTGGGTTTTTTATTTGCACTTTCCTAGTAAGCATAGTTTCGAAGATTGTGGATTTGAAGATGCTCACATTTCCATGAAGGTCTCCGACGACAATCGTCCGCCCTTCCGGCCTCGCCACGTACTTCTCTTGCTCCACCATTGCACCCAATCGTTCGCACAAGATTTGAATGCGATCCCCAGACGGGTTGTATTTCGGCTGAAAATTGTTTTAATCTTTTCGCCATTTTTTCGGGCGGCCGGTGAATCTGGTGAGTACTACTCGCGCTGTGTGCTCGTGTGAGACTTGCCGTCTACAGGGTGTCCCAAAAAAACGAACCATCTGGGATTTCGCCGTGTTACATCCAAACCGCCCCAAAATTGGACCAGAGTTCTATCAGACTCTAAATATCACCAATTCTGAGTTATACCCCCCCCTAGCTCCAGTCGCTCTTCAGTTATAACGAAAATACTGTTTTCCCGGAATTCTAAACATTTTTCGGCTACCTTTTTGGACTTTGCACCGATTTGCTTCGACTTCCTGTTGCGAATCCCTAATTTCGCTTAAGAACGTGGGTAATTTTGCGTTGTAAAAATCGCTTAAATCGAAGCTGATTTGTTTAATTTCAGCCCGGAGGCTTGCCGAATCATTTTCACATAATGTTTATGGGGTCTAATTCCACGGAAACCCCATGAAAAATGGACAACAAAGTTTATTTTTGTTATAAATAGAAAACTAGGTTCTGTTTTATTTCGCGGGGGGGGGGGCGGGAACTGTGCAGGGGGGGGATATGCTGCGCGGAACCTTCCATCTTTTCGCTATTTTCTTGGGATTTTTGCAACGCCATTCGATAGAGCATCAAAAAATACACTACGAGTTTTAATTTCATTTAAAAATATTGTTTTATAAAATAGTTATACCAAAAACAAGGCTTATTGGGTGTTTCCACATGGGATCGTGGAGCTAGTTTTTGACATTTTCGATAACTTGAAAAATTTCTTTAATAAAAATTTTAAAAATTTCTTTAAAAATTTGCTGTTCGGTAGAGCGTCAAAAAAGATACTAAGAGTTTTGATGACAACTCAAAATAACATCATATAAAAGAGTTATAACAAAACGAAGAAAATCCCCCCGCACAGTTTTCCCCCCACGCGAAATAGAACAGTACCAAAACTACTATAACGACGGGGCTATAACTCTGGATTGTTGTTATTTAGGGTCTGATACACCTCTGGTCCAAATTTGGGGCCGATTGGATGTAACACGGCGAAATGCCGGACGGTTCGTTTTTTTTGGGACACCCTGTAGGCGAATTTTCGACCTGCAGCGCTGTTTATCCAGCGATTTTGAAGATGAACACTTCAGTTTAAGGCCGAATTTACAAAGGTCGTGAGGTCGTATTATGTACAGTCCCCC